TCTTGGTTGAGGGTTTATTCACACCAGCCAGGTCACCCCTGGGCCAGTTGCCCCCACCTTGGAGGGACAGAAATTATCATACCATTTCTTAGTATAGAGAACTGGGGCTCAGAGGTGTCCCATCATCTGCCTGAAGTCACATGGCTACGCGGTCACAAGGGAAAGCCTTGAACCCCGGGCTATAGGGAACGGGATTGTCAGAGATCTACCTGGGCCACAGGAAGGCGGGACTCCGACGTGTTCTGCTCCTCCCCGAGAACCTCATTAAGCTCCGCCTGCAGGGACACAGGCCAGGGGCTTGAGTGTGTGCCCAATGGATGGGGCAATAATGGGAGGAACCCTCCTGCCCCACTCTGGGCACTCACCAGCAGGTCATCATCAGCTTCCACATCCTCGTCTGTCAATTCCTCCTCATCCTCATCCGGGTCTCTCATGCACAAGCTGGCCATCTTCTCAATGGCCTCCATGGGCAGGGGACCTGGCAGCAGGGGGAGGCGCCTGGTGGACCGGGATCCTTCAAGCGTCCCCAGTCTCCCTTCCTGGTCACCCACAGCCCCAGGGAATAGGGGAGCAGGCAATGGGGCAGCATGTCTCCCTCCTGGCACTTCCACGGCACCCACTGCCCTAGATCCAGCAGGCACAATCCCGCTTCCCCGAGACCTCCCCGGCCTTATCCCTTCCTTAGGAAGCCTGAGTTCAAACTCTGGCTCTGGAACTTTCTCCCTGTGGGGCACTGGGCGAGTTGGGTGACTCTAACTATTTGTGGCTCTGAGCACGTCCAAGAATAACCGCAAAAGAGCTGCATGGCCGAAACCAGTTTGGCTCAATGGATAGAGTGTCGGCCTGCAGACTGAAAGGTCCCAAGTTCGATTCCGGTCAAGGGCATGTACCTGGGTTGCGGGCACATCCCCAGTAGGGGGTGTGCAGGAGGCAGCTGATCGATGATTCTCTCTCATCGATGTTTCTAACTCTCTGTCCCTCTCTCCTCCTCTCTGTGAAAAATCAATAAAATATATTTAAAAAAACAAAAACAAAAAAAAGAGCTGCATGTTTTGATTTGGGGTTAAAGATAACTTTCAGCCAGTAGGTGAATTTACAATTGCAGAATTTGTGATAACGAGGATCAACTGTATTAGCTAAAAAATGTAAAGGCTATGCCTGCTGTCTGGGCTCCAGCCCCACTTGACCACTTTAGAATCTTCTGCCCAATGCCATCTCCCCCAGGGCATTTGCACGTGCTGTGACCCCTCCCAGAAGTGCTCCCCACCTCTCCATGTGCCCCCCCCCCTCATGTGTGCCTCCTCCAAGAATCTCCTCCCAGCTCATAGGTGTCTTTCCATCCTCTGTGCTTCCCCCATCGCCGCTCCATCACAGGACAGCAGGCTGGACAACTCACCAGGTCCTGGGTGAAGTGCTTTAAGAACACTTGATGATGAATTCCTGTAAGTGTGGTTTATTCCCATTTATAAATGGGAAAACTGAGGCCCACCCAGGTGCTGGGACTCTTTTTAAGTCACAGCCAGTAAGTGGCTGAGCTGGGATTGAACCCTCACTTTGGGTACAAAGTTGGCAGTTTAACCTTTAATCCAGAATGTGGGTTTCAGGGGGCCAGGGACCTTCTCTGTCTCCTTCCCCCTGTCTTCCCAGCACCTAGCTCTGAGCCTGGCCCACAGTGGAGCTCAGGAAATGTTCCAGGATGGACTGAGAGCCTCACCTTTGCCTCTGAGCTTCTCCAGGGTTTGAGGCTGGCCCCCAACCAAAGCCAAGAACTCAGCCTCCAACTCCTCATTGTTAATTCCATCCTCAGGGATCATCAGGCCATCCGGGGAGAGATCAACCAGCAGACCAAGCTGTGGGAACAGAAAAGAGTCCAGTCAGACCTTGGGATGCACTACACCTGGCTATGATTACCCAGGGTCCCCTCGGGAGCAAGAGAACCCAGGCCTTTCGGCAAAAGCCATTTCCCTGGGGAGTGCCAGGAATCTGGAACAGGCCAGGAGGCAACAGGTATCTCAATAAACCACATAATGCTCTGGCAGAGACCAGCATGGGGCAAAGGGCAAGGGGCGAGATCCCGTTCCCTGCTCTGAGTCCACACCCATGATTTGCTGCTTGCAGAAATCAGTAGGGAAAGCAGGCCCCACACCTTGCCCAAAGCACGGCCTCTCTGCACACCTGGGCTTTTTCTTCCAGCATCCTCAGCAGAGGGGGCCATGCAGGAAGCCCTGCCCTAGCCGGTTTGGCTCGGTGGCTAGAGCATAGGGCCTGGGCTCAATTTTGGTCAAGGGTCCATACCTCGGTTGCAGGCTTCTCCCTATTCAGGCCCTGGTCGGGGCTCATGTAGGAGGCAACCAATCGATGTTCCTCTCTGTCTTTCCCTCTCTCTTCCACTCTCTTTAAAAATCAATGGAAAAATATCCTCAGGTGAGGATTAAAAAAAAAAGTAGCCGCAATCGGTTTGGCTCAGTGGATAGAGCATCGGTCTGCGGACTGAAGGGTCCCAGGTTCGATTCCGACATGTACATTGGTTGCGGGCACATCCCCGGTGGAGGGTGTGCAGGAGGCAGCTGGTCGTTGTTTCTCTCTCATCGATGTTTCTCTCTATCTCTCTCCCTTCCTCTCTATAAAAAAAAAAAAATCAATAATATATATATATATATATTTTTTTTTTAAAGTAAATAGAAACCCTGACAGTAACATGACTTTGAAAGTGGGGTCTTTGCTATATAACAGACCATTTTCTTATCCTTTCCTATCCTATCCTGATTAATGACCCATCATAACATTAGGATGAACTATACAAAATTGCCCTTTCTGTGGATCAAAAATGACTCAATATTGGCAAATATGTATGGCTTCTTCTAATACTATTAACAATGACAATAACATTTACTGAGTACTATGTTCTAGCACTTACCATATACTATTCTATTCCAATGAATTTTCACACCTGTCCTATGACATAGGGGCTCTTAGGGCCTCCATTGTACAGATAAGGGAACAAATCCAATGTGAAAGGGTTAGGGGAACTTCAGGTTAGCCAGACTCCAACATCTGGGTACTAAGCAGTGGCCTGGGCTCCTCCCATCAAAGCTGAGAAAAATCAAACTCTGCGGGTGCTGGGGACAGGGGCAGGAGAAGGGACCCGGCCACAGTCCTGTGGGCTCATCATGGCAGCAGTTCTGGATTTGCACTTAGCTCTGGCCAACAACCTGTTAATCCCCATGACCTTGGCCAGATGTCTTTACCTTTCTGGGCCTCAGTGTCCTCATCTTTATAATGGAGATAAAAGAGTCTGACCTGGCCTGGTTGATGGGAGGGTTCAAAGCTGCTCAGGTCAGGGGAGCAGTACCTGTCCTCCCAAGTCGAGGCCTTCCCCGCCCCTACTGGGGCGGTGTGGCAACAGGTGGCCCTGAGCCTAGGGCGGGGCGCCGGAAGCTGGGGAGCCAGGTCCAGTAGGCCGCACTTTGGGGGTCGAACCTCACTTGGGGGGCGGGGACCCGGGCTCACTCACCTGTGGGGTGGAGATCAGGTTCCCTGAGGGGTGGGTAGGGTTCCTTAGGTGGGGCCGCGGGGTACAGACTTACCTGGCGGGCAGCGGCGGCGCCTCGGCCCGGGGGTCCCGGGGTTCCCTTCCTCTTGTGCATCTTCCAAGCTAGATGCCCAGGCCACGGCCCCCACGCCTCGCCTTGCCCTGCCCCCTCCCCCGGGGCCTATGGCCGCGCACGCGCCCTTCCAGAGCCCTGCGCCCCTCGCCGGCGCCCCGCGACCGCCGACCCAGGGTCCTCGGTCCCCAGGGTGGTCACCCTACTTCCGCCTCGTCCCTTGGGCACCGCGGCACCGAAGCGCGGCCACTGGACTTGCGGGGCCCGCCTCCTTGAAACTACAACTCCCGAAAGTCAGTGCGTAAGCGCGCGTGCGCGTTGCGGGGCTGTGGGCGGTGCCACTAGTGGTCCGGGCGAGAGGCGGGGCGTGAGCGTCAGAAAAAGCTGGCGTCGCGCGTGCGCAGGCCTGGGCCTCGCAGTGCGCGGGAAAGAAGTGGAGCGCGCTCAGGCGTGAGGGGTGGCAGTGGCCGAAGGTTCATTTCGTCCCGCGTGGCGGTCCGGGCCTGGGCATCCCTCACGTTTCGGCGGCCGCGGTAGGGTTACTGGGGGCCTAGTTACCAGAAGCTATTCCTCAGGCCTTGGGCCTCAGGTCTCCTGTCCCTTCAGCTTCAGGCCCTCTCGGAGGGCTGCCTGGTCCCTGAGAGGGACCAAATTATCTTTTATTTTTTCCAAACTATTTCACGCATATAACTTAACCTAGTTGTCCCCCACCAGCTCCAGGCAGACCTTCCCAGTTCCTGATTAGGACAGGTTTCTCAACAAGTTCTCTGGCTCAGGTCAGTTTGGGCTTGTCCGGCCCCCAACGGTGGAAGGAATTGCTCGGTAGTAACTCCGGTCCCCTCAAGGCCCAGGCGCCCCTCTCCTTCCCCCCGTGAAAGCCCCACATCCAGCCCTTGAAGCGCCCGGATGGCCCGTCTAAAGTCACGGGGGCTGAGGAGGGTGGGGGGATAAAAATAAAGTCACTTGGTGACTCTGAAGGACTCCCGGTGTCGCCTCCAAAGCCCCGGTGTGTCTCTAGAAGGTTCCCTGAGAGCCCAGCCTGGAAGGAGGGAGCTTCACACAGGCTGCCCCAAGACACACTGAGCTCACCCCACCCCCCTCCACCCCTGTGCCCTCAGATCCTGGGCAGTCGGGCAGTAGTTCCCTCTCTGCCCGCTGCAGCTGGGAGGAGGTTTGAGTGCTTCCCCAGCCAAGCATGGCCCAAAGGTTGCTGTGACTCCCACCCTGTGTCCTCTTGGGGCCTAACTGGCCCCTCAGGGCAGCCACGTGGGCCAAGCTGGGGGATGGGGTGGCTTCTTCCCTCGGCCAATGTCATCGGGTCTGTATCCAGGGACAATGAGTGCTTGTAATGATGGAATTTTTGCTCATTTTCAGATTTCTCAAGGGAGGGATAAAATGAGTAAAAGGAAGAAGCTGCAGACTTCAGGTATTTGGATATTCAAGTTGATCTCTTTATTGTAGTTTCTGCTTAATAGGAATTGGGGCTTACTAATTGCAGAAATGCTAAAATGACTTTTTAAAAAAAGCTCCTTTAAAAAAAATAATTTAATACCTTCTAGTAAAAAAAAGTATAAGTAGCCAAAACTGGGTTGGCTCAGTGGATAGAATGTCAGTCTGCAGACTGAAGGGTCCCAGGTTCGATTTTGATCAAGGGCATGTACATTGGTTGCAGGCACATCCGCAGTTGGGGGGGGGGGGGGGAGAGGGGGCAGGAGGCAGCTGGTCGATGTTTCTCTTTCATCAATGTTTCTAACTCTCTATCCCTCTCTCTTCCTCTCTGTAGGAAATCAATAAAACATATATTTTTTTAAATTGGAAATTTTCTAAGAAGCTTTCTCTTAAAAAAAAAAAAAAGTATAAATGATGGAAGATGCATAGAGTGGAAAGTGAAAGCCACTCTCAGAGGCTGTTCTGAATGGAGCTTGACCTGTTGCAAGGCCCTCTGGTGTGTGGCTAACTGGTGTGTGGCTAAGTGCTTCACAGTCAAACCAAAAACCTGGTTCCACCCAACTCTGCTGCTCGCCATGTGGTGGCAGGTGACTTGCTGTATGCCTCACTCTCCCCCTTCTGCAGATAGAGGATAATAAGAGCGTCTCGCCTTTTCTTTAGAACAGTGATTCTCAGCCTGGTGGGGGTAGCCATTTACCCTGCAGAGGAAATTGACAATATCTAGAGAGACATTTTGGGTATTCACAATTGGTGTGTGTGGGAGGGGTGGTCCTGGCATTTAGTGGGTCTAAGCCAGGATGCTGCTCAAAATCATAGGATGTGCAGACAGCCCCCTCAACACAGGATGATCCAACTTCAGATGTCAGTAGTGCTAAGGTAGAGAACCATTCCCTACAGCTCAGATGTGGATTAGTATTTGTTGTTTTGTTTTGTTATCCTTACCCAAGGATATTTTTTCCATTGATTTTTAGAGAGAGTGGAAGGGAATGAGCAGAGAGAGAGAGAGAGAGAGAGAGAGAGAGAGAAACATTGATGTGAGAGGGGCACATTGATTGGTTGCCTCCCCAACCCGCCCCTGACTGGATTGGGGATCAAATCGGCAACCCAAGTACTATCCTTGACTGGGAATTGAACCTACCATTCTTTAGTGCCAGGGCTGATACTCTATCCACTGAACAGTACTGGCCAGGGCTGGATTAGTGTTTATATTGCACCAAGAAGAGACCCTAGGTAGTACGCAAATATATGCTACTGTTATGCTTGTCCTTCCAGACTTTATTCCCCTATGTTAAGATCCAACAAAACCACAGGCCAAGGATCAATCCTATAGTATAGCATTTTAAAAAAACAAAACAAAAAAAACAGGAAATGCCCTGGGCAAGTAATTTAGTTGATAGGAGTATTGTCCCCTACACCAAAATGTTGAGGGTTCACATACTGGTTGTGGTTTGATTCCCAGATCGAACAGGGATAGTAGGAGAGGCAACCAATGTTTCTCTCTCCACCTCCCCCTTCCTTTCTCTAAAAATCAAAAACATATATCCTTAGGTGATGATTAAAAAAAACAAAACACCAGGCCCTAGCCGGTTTGGCTCAGTGGATAGATAGCCTGTGGACTGAAGGGTCCCATTTAGATTCTGGCCAAGGGCACATGCCCAGGTTGTGGGCTCGATCCCCAGTGTGGGGTGTGCAGGAGGCAGCTAATCGATGATTCTCTCTCATCATTGATATTTCTGTCTCTTCCTCTTCCTTCCTCTCTGAAATCAATAAAAATTTGAAACACTAAAAAAACAAAACAAGAAATGAACCTGAGTATACTATTCTTTCAAACTTTTTCTTCACATACAAAAATATAGTGTTTTTATTGGGACATAAGAGTCATCATTGATATGCAACCATTTTAAAATATATTTTATTGCTTTTATTTTTTTACAGAGAGGAAGGAAGAGAGAGTTAGAAACATTGGTGAGAGAGAAACATTGATCAGCTACCTCCTGCATAGCCCCAACTGGGGATGTGCCTGCAAACCAAGGTACATGCCCTTGATCGGAATCGAACCTGGAGCCCTTCAGTCCTCAGGCCGATGCTGTATCCACTGAGCCAAACCAGTTAGGGCTAACCTTTGTTTTTTACTTCATGGTATATTGGGACTATCATCACTTGTCCATAAACATATAAAATTTTCTCATTAAAAAGAAACACAAATATTACATCACATAGTTTGATTTCCCTGTATATTGTCTAAGGTAACTCAAACTTCTTAAAAGTTTAGCAATAACCTCTTTACTTAGTGCTTAATGAACTTAGGGAGCAGCATTCATTCCTTTGCCCCCCCCCCCTGAAAATGTGGGACCGAAAATAAATTATCAACAGATTGAAATATTTTGTGTAGAGATTAGGCTGCTTGAGACACAAGAATTTCTCTGACCTCAGAGGGAGAAGCTGGGGACAGCCAAGCCCACCCACAGCAAGTCTTTTGGGGCCTCTCTTGGCCGTGGACCCCTCCAGCTCATTGAACCCCTGGGTTAGCCCAGCTGTTTCTGTATGCCTTGGACGGCGTGGGGAGAGGAAGACAATTCTGGCAGATGGTGAAAGAAGCCCTTTCCCTTCCGACATCTTTTCTTATATTAGTCCTGTGGGAACAGATCACAGGAAGGAAATGGAAGGCTCTTCACTTCTGTTTATATTTTTGCTTCTTATTTGATATAAATGTCCATTAGATTAAGCAAAGCAAGCTGGTGTTTGGGCATCTTTAAAAAACAAATAAATGAAGCCGCTGTAGTTTGTGTTTTCTGGCAGACAGCAAGGTAGGAACATGTTTGTGTAAGAAACTCATTGGAGCCTAGCTCTGGGTGCAGCATTGGGGTGGGCACCTGAGAAGAGGTAGATCAAGGATGAGATCAAAAGGTAGAGCAGACTTAGTGCCTCCCCTCCACACCTTCAAGGTCAAGTCAAAGAAAAAAAGAAAAATGCTTCTCATGGAGAGAGCTAATCAAATACACAGCAGGGGCTTATAGTTCTGAATGGATACACACGAACCATAACTGAATTAGAAGAAATTATAGGAAAGTTGCTGTGGTCTAGCGGAGTGCACGGAGTTGAGTGAATGCTGAATGCTGAGGTGGACCCTAGCAATTGGCATTGGGAGAAAGGTTGGGGGGAGGCGCTTATTAAATGGGTTTATGTCAATGAGTGTAAGGAGCTGAGGTTGGAAAGGGTCTACGTGACAACTCCAGGAAGATCAGGCCTACCTCCAGTTTGTCCTTTTGTCCTCACTGCCTGGTAAGTGCCAGAGTATACTTAAATGTGCAGACTTTGGAGTTGGATGCCTGGATCCCATTCTGGATTCCTTGGCCTTCTGTACCTGTGCTTTCTCATGTGTAAAATGGGTATAACAGGACCCTACCTTGAGTTTTATCAGAACACAAGTTCTTAGGACAGTGTCTGACATAGAGCTCACTAGAGTCAACCCTTATTTTTTGTTCATTGAACAAATGATTCCGTTGGGACTAGATTTGGGGAGGATTCACAAGCCAGCCAACAATGGCAATTTATGTATAAGGGAGTTTCCTTTATCCAACAAGTAGATGTTAATGAATACCTTTAGACCCTAACCGGTTTAGCTCAGTGTATAGAGCATTGGCCATGGACTGAAGGGTCCCAGGTTCAATTCCAGTCAAGAGCATACACCTTGGTTGTGAGCTCAATCCCTAGTAGGGGGCATGCAGGAGGCAGTTAATCGATGTTTCTGTCTCATCAATGTTTCTAACTCTCTATCCCTCTCCTTCCTCTCTGTGAAAATCAATAAAATATATATATTTAAAAGTACCTTTAGGCTCTAAATTGCTCTCAGTGATGAGAAAGGTGTTGCAGAGATACAAGGAAATAAGTGGCAGCGGAGACATCAGTCCCTTGGCACTTAATCATACTGGGTCCAAGTTTTCCCAGGGTGGATATTCTTCAGGCATCATAGAAAACTAGAGTGGGATACAGTTTAGTTGTATCTGCATTTCCTGAGAAGTGATCTTTATTTTCTACATGTTTATTCAATCATCTATCAAATATTTTTTTTAATGTGTTTGTTTTAAATATATTTTTATTGATTTCAGAGAGAAAGAGTGAGGGAGAGAGAGAGAGAAACATCAATGATGAGAAAGGACGCGGGCACGCACCTGGGACCCTTCAGTCCACAGGCCAACACTCTATCCACTGAGCCAAACCGGCTAGCGCCCAAGTATTTATTGATCACTGATGGTGAACTATTATAGATGCTCTTCTGAGCACTTGAGACTCAGCAGAGAGTGAGATAGAGCCTCTTCTTGCATGGAGCAAGTTGTATTGGGCAAGACAGAAAGGACCCAGTACATTGATTCTTGCAGAAAAGCTTTGAAGTCAACAAAAACAGCATGGGCCTGAAAGGGAATGCTCTATAGAAAAGTTAGGGAATGGCCCCTCTGCAGGGATGTTTGAGCTGAGACCCAAAGGAGCCAGTACACACTTCTCACCACTTCCCCAGAAAAGCAGTCAGCTGGGTTTTATCTTCTGTGGGTTAGAGCCTAACCAGGCCAACTCAAGATTCAGCCTCAATCATGACCAGTCCACAGGTAAAAGCTTTGGAGTCGCATAGCCTCCTAAGTCCCACCTCGGTAAGGTTCCACCCATCTCTCACTTCCAGGCAAGTGTCAGAGCAGTGGTTTCTTGCCTGTGGAACAAGCCCACACTGCAGCAGCAGCCCTGCCAGGTTTGGTTGTCAGCAACGGAAGTGCATGCTCTTGGCATCCTCTACCCCTTTGTCTTCCTTTATGTCTAAACCAGGAGAAGGAATTCGTCCACCAAAGCATCCAAAGCTCAGAGACTCTGACGAGGATCCTCCAAGTTTCCAGTTTGGCCCTTTGGGTCACCCTGAAGAGTCAAAAAGCAGGTCGGGACCTGTTCCCTGTACAGAGCAGAGTGAGGAGGAATCGGGACAGGAGGCCTCTAGGTAGGTGGCTCAGAACAGACTCTTGCTATCAGTATCTAGACTTATTTCACAGTTTGCCTTTTCCAGAATGTCATGTAGTTGGAATCTTACAATACGTGGCCTTTTCAAATTGGCTTTTTTCACTTAGTAATAATGTGCATTTAAGTTTCCTCTATGCCTTTTCATGCCTTGATAGCTTATTTATTTTATTTATTTTTTTATCCTCACCCGAGGATATGTTTATTGATTTGAGAGGGGGGGAAGGGAAGGGAGACAGAAACATTGATTGGTTTCCTCCTGTACACACCCCTACTGTAAGGTGACCAGACGTCCTTTTGCCGGGACAGTCCCTATTATTAACAATTTGTCCCATGTCCCTCGGCATTTTTTTAAAAATCCCGATTTTTGGAATTTTTGCAAATTGTTAAAAATCGGGACTGTCCCGCCAAAAGCAGGACGTCTGGTCACCTTACCCTACTGAGGATCAAATCTGTAACCCAGATACATGCCTGAACTGGGACTCAAACCCAAAACCTTTTGGTGCATAGGACAACTTGGCCAGGGCTCAGTTCTTTTTAGTGCCGAATAATATTCCATTTTCTGGTTGTGCCACTTCATTTACCCACTGGAGGCCATCACATACTCCAGTTTCTTTCTTTCTTTTTCTTTTTTTTAAAATATATTTTATTGATTTTGTACAGAGAGGAAGGGAGAGAGATAGCAAGCCAGAAACATCGATGAGAGAGAGTCATCGATCAGCTGCCTCTTGCACACCCCCTACCGGGGATGTGCCCACAACCACGGTACATGCCCTTGACCGGAATTGAACCTGGGACCCCTCAGTCCCCAAGCCGACGCTCTATCCACTGAGCCAAACCAGTCTCTGCTCCAGTTTCTTTTGATACTGTGTTTCTCATATCTACAAATCCCTTTAGAATTTGCCTGAGTTGTGGGCAGGAGTGTCAGTGCAAACGAGAATTCCTGGTCTTACTTGAAGAGCCAGTTCCTAGGATTATAAGGGTGAAGCGCTGCCACAGCTGGCAGCTTCAATTCTAGATGTGGGACTCAGCACCCTTCTTTGAGTCAAATATTCCGAAACACACTGCTCCCCTCCATCCCACCCTCTCTCAGCAAGAAGGTGCTCCCGGACCTCCCTCTAGGAGACTCTGAGCGCTACTTTGCCCTTGGACTTCCTTCTCTGCACTGGAAGCCTTGGATGACTTCAGAACCTCTTGTTTCATCTTTCTCCACCCAGCTCTCTGGACAAGGAACCTGGAGCTCCTTCCAGGCTCCTCTCGCAAGCAGAAAAGGAGCCAATCCCCTTTCCTCCTTCCCAGGTGAGCCTGTTTTGTAGCTTCCCCTGTGTGCAAAAAGAAGCCGCCTCCCTTAGGCTGGAGTCCCTGCCTCTATTCATCCTCGTGGCCAATGGGCTGGTTCGCCCTGGGGATAGAGGGCAAAGGCCAGTTTGAGACTACAAGAAGGAAACCGGTTTGGGTATTTGTTTTCTTTCTTAGACCTCATTCCTCCCTTATAGTAATTGCTGCTTTGTTCTTGTTGTATCTGGTTCACAGAATTCAGACAGGAGGTTTGTCCCCCAGTTTGCAAAACCAAGGAAGACAGTGACAAGACTAGCAACCGCGAGGGAAGAGGACCTTGGGAGTGGGGCCTTTAGCTCGGTAAGACCCTAAAATCAGCAGACTGAGCCCCATAGACAAGGCAGCTCTTGGCCAAGCCTTGGCAGCTGAGTGTAACCTTGGTTTGTTTGGCGTTTTTTTTTTTTGTTTTGGCAATGGCTAGATCTGTACCTCTCCACACCCCATTTTTAGCACATTGCACTACTGATGTCTCTGTACTGCAGGTGCTATGCAGGCAGCTCCCAGGCCTGTGAGAAGTACTCAGGATAGCAGTGCCTATATCAGAGTGCTGGAGGCAAGAGCCCTCTTGCCCACATTTCGTAAGAATTAGAAAACTCAGAAAGGCAATCTGACTGGTTGCTTAGTTGGTTGGCGTGTCATCCCAAACACCAAAGGTTGCGGGTTCAGTTCTCAGTCAGGGCACAAACCTAGTTTGTGGGTTCATCCCCTGTCAGGGTGCATGCCATGTGGGAGACAAGTGATCATATTTTCTCTCTCTCTCTCTCTCTCTCTCTCTCTCTCTCTCTCTCTCTCTCAAAGTCAATAAAAAAAATATCCTCTGGTGAGGATTTTTTATTTTTTTAATTTTTCTAAAAATATATTTTATTGATTTTTCACAGAGAGGAAGGGAAAGGGATAGATAGCCAGAAACATCGATGAGAGAAAAACATCGATCTGCTGCCTCCTGCACACCCCCCACTGGTGATGTGCCCGCAACCAATGTATATGCCCTTGACCGGAATCGAACCTGGGACCCTTCAGTCTGCAGACTGATGCTCCATCCACTGAGCCAAACCAGTTTCGGCTGGTGAGGATTTTTTAAAAAGGAAAAGAAAACTCAGGAAGGCAGCCCATTTTCTGTCCCTGAACCCCTTTGCTTCTCAGTAGCTTTTGGACAAGTTGGGGCTCAGGGAGGGGGGTCTCACAGTGTGCTTTCTTATCCTTGCCACTGTGAGCTCCAGTGCTGACAATGTCTGGTAACACACGCCCCAGAACAAGTGAGTGGTGGGAATGCCAGCCGCTGCATTTTTAATCAGCCTTAATTGGGAACACCCTTAATAGCTTTCAACTGGTGAATGGTTGAACAAACCATCGTCTGTCGGCCCTGCTGACTAAGGGTCCCAGGTTCAATTCCGGTCAAGAGCACTTACCTAGGTTGCAGGCTCGATCCCTGGCCTTGATCAGGGCTCATGTGGAAGGCAACCAATTGATGTGTCTCTCTAATATTGATGTTTCTCTCTCTGTGTTTCTCTCTTTCCCTTACACTCTCTCTAAAAATCAATGAAAAAGTATCCTCAAGTGATGATTAACAACAACAAAAAATAGTTAAGATAGTGAATCTTTTTTTTTTAAATATGTTTTATTGATTTTTTACAGAGAGGAAGGGAGAGGGAGAGAGAGTTAGAAACATCAATGAGAGAGAAACATTGATCAGCTGCCTCCTGCACACTCCGCACTAGGAATGTGCCCGCAACCCAGGTACATGCCCTTGACCGGAATTGAACCTGGGACCCTTGAGTCCGCAGGCCGAAGCTCTATCCACTGAGCCAAACCAGTTAGGACAAGATGGTGAATTTTACATTGCGTGCATCATATCACAATTTAACAACAAAACAGAGGAGAAGTCCTTGTGTTTCCTCCCCTAGCTTCCCCAGTGGTGACTCTTACATAAGTGTGCTTCATTTTCAGTCCAAGCAATTGACATTAGTGTCATCCACAGACCCCCTTGAGTTTTATATTCTAGATCTCCACATGCCTGGTGGGGAGAAGGGATTACCCTCCAGCCCCTGACACAAAGCTCTGCCTTGTACTAGTGCAGTAGTCCCCCACCCCTTTTCTGTGCTTTTACTTTCCGTGGTCAACCACTGTCCAAAAAATATTAAATAGAGAACCCAGAAATCAACAATTCATAAGTTTTAAATTGCATGCCGTCCTGTGTGATGTGATGAAATCTCACAGCGTCCTGCCTGGGACATGAATGGTCCCTTTGTCCAGTGGCTCCACCCTGCTTATGCTCCCTTCCCATTAGTCCCTTAGTAGCCGTCTGCGTTATCAGATTGACTGCTGTGGTATCACAGTATTTGTATTCAAGTAACCTGTATTTTACTCAGCAATGGCCTCAAAGGCATTCATATAACTTTTATTACATTATACTGTTATTTTATCAATTGTTGTTGTTAATCTCTTATTGTGCCTAATTTAAAATATAACTTTATTATAGGCATGTACTTATAGAAAAAACATAGTATGTAAAGGATTCAGCACAACCCGCAGTTTCAGGCATCCACTGGGGGTCTTGGAACGTACCCCCACCCCCCCATGGATAAGAGGGAACAGCTGTACTGATCCCTTCAGTGGTCCGTACAGCGTCTGAGACTTTATACAGATGCAGTAACGACTAGAAGCATCTTCAGAGTGGTTGGTTATTGAAGGCCTGAGGCTGAGTCTTTCTCTCTACACAGGAGACACCACCAGAGCCCAGTGCCCAGCAGGCAGGAAGCCAGTCATGGCAAGAGTCCTCAGAGCTCACTGTCTCGGAGGCCTGGAAGCCAGGAGACCAGACGCAGGCAGATGGCACCCACTCTGAGCACAGCGCCCAAAACTCTGTAACACCTGTGTCCAGCAGGGGGGATTCTCAGCCTGAGGTCTCCAATGACATTTCTTCAGAATGGGGGATGGTGTCCTTGGTTTCAGAGAGTGCCAACCGGGACTATCTATTGGAGCAAGGAACCAACCTGCCAGATGCTGGAAGCACAGAAGGGGGTAGGATTCCAGGTGATCTCAGCCAGGAAGGGCATCTGCCAAGCAGGGGTGCTGAGGAGAAGGAGCCAGACCGAGGAGTCCCACAGGAGGAAGATGACCAGGAGAAAGGAGACAGCATCCTAGGCTTGGTCACTCAGGGCTCAGAGCCTGGATCTGCAGCCCAGGCCCCACCCGACCCCCTGCAGATACTCAGCAGGGTTGGCATCGAAGCCAGAGGGAGCTGTAGCAGCCCCGAACACTCTTCCCTTAGGATCAGTGTCATCACAGATGTGGTCACAGACCCCATCAAGGCAGAACAGAGGGCTCTGGAGTTGACGAGGCCAGATGAGAAGGCTAACACCCAGGCATCTGCCTCTCCCAACGGGAAGGCTCCTGATGGAGGCCATAGTAGGGCCCTGCTCATAGGCTCACCTCTCGCTGGGGAGGCCACAGGAAGCAAAGGAGAGGCAGAGTGGGAGGCTGAGGCCCCTGGTGATGTCTCCAGGAGCCCTGCAGCCTCCCTGGTTCTGGCTAATGAAACCCAAGAGCCCTCAATAGGTGCTGGATATTCCAGTCCTGTAGCCTCGGAAATGGGCCCAGTTGTTGGTCAGACACAGGTGCCAGAACTAGATCAAGAAGGGCTGGGAGGTGTGTGTACGCTGTCTTTGTTGTCACAGCCCTCAGGTGAAAAGGCAGCTGAATTAGGTAGCCAGAGCCATGAACAAGACCTTGGGGGGTTCAGTCTGTCCCTTGGAGCCTCTGATCCACCATTGCACAGAGAAACAGTGGTTGGTCCTCTCCTGAATGCCAAGGCCCTCGAGGGCAGCCCAGATGCCCCCGAAAGCCCAGCAGGCCAGCCCAAGCATCCTGATCCTGCAGACCAGGCCGCCTTGGAACTCGACTTCCTGCCAGATAGCCAGATACAGGATGTCCTGGAAGCCCTCAACTTCGAAGCCCCTCCTGAGCAGGTAAGAGCTTCCTAAAGTTACAGCCAGCCCAGCCCAGAGCAGGGGCATGCGGTAGTCTATTATATGGCAGACGAGTCTGGGGGTCTGAATTGCAACTTCAGTGGCTGTGTGGAGTCTGTGATTTTCCAGAAAGAAAGACCTGCTTTTCCATGAGGGGCCTGTGCCAAACATGTGTATGGAATTTTTATTTTATGCTGGAATTTGTAGGAACTTTGCTTCCTTCGGGGAGCTGCCTGCATGACAGGCAGTGGGAAAGCTGTCCATTGAGCCTCTGCTAGCCCTGGTGTTCACCTAGCAGGGCAGGTGGCAGCCTTGCTTAAGCCCCGCTCCCAGGGTAGGCTGCATGCCCCTGGCTGGTGGCACACCTGAGCCTGGGCTAAGTGCTTTGCAGTGGTGCTCCGGGAGGTAGGTGATTCTCGGTTCTACTGGGTTGGGCACCTGCCATAGATGACACAGCCAGGAGGGGTGGAGGCTGGGTCTGCATCCAGATTGTCCTGATTCTTTTAAAAAAAAAAAAATATTTTATTGATTTTGTACAGAGAGGAAGGGAGAAAGAGAGTTAGAAACATCGATGAGAGAGAGTCATTGATCAGCTGCCTCTTGCACACCCCCTACTGGGGATATGCCTGCAACCAAGGTACATGGCCTTAACCGGAATGGAACCCGGGACCTTTCAGTCCCCAAGCCAACGCTCTATCTATTGAGCCAAACCTGTTTCGGCACAGTGTGCATTTTTTAAATATATATTTAAAATATTGATTGCAATGAGGAAGGAAGAGAGAGATAGAAACAATGATGAGAGAGAATCATTGATTGGCTGCCTTCTGCTCGCCCCACATTGGGGATTGAGCCTGCAACCCAGGCATGTGCCTCTGATCGGAATCGAACCTGGGACCCTTTAGTCCATAGGCCAACACTCAATCTACTGAGCCAAGCCAGCTAGGGCCAGAGTGAGCATTTCTGTACCCTATTATTTTGGAACTTAAAGAGTCTTCATATGCCAAAACTGGTTTGGCTCAGTGGATAGAGCGTCGGCTTGGGGACTGAAGGGTCCCGGGTTCGATTCCGGTCAGGGGCATGTGACTTGGTTGCGGGCACATCCTCAGTAGGGGGTGTGCAGGAGGCGGCTGATCGATGACTCTCTCTCATCGATGTTTCTATTCTCTGTATCTTTCCCTTCTTCTCTGTACAAAATCAATAAAATATATTTAAAAAAAAAAAAAATCTTCATGTGCCAAAACCGGTTTAGCTCAGTGGTGGAGCGTCGGTCTGCGGACTGAAAGGTCCCAGGTTCAATTCCGGTCAGGGGCATGTACATTGGTTGCAGGCGCATCCCCAGTGGGGGGTGTGCAAGAGGCAGCTGGTCGATGTTGCTCTCTCATCGACGTTTCTGGTTCTCTATCTCTCTCCCTTCCTCTTGGTGAAGGATCGATAAAATATATATATTTTTTTAAAAAGAGTCTTCATGTGACACAGCTCCAAAACAAGCACAGGATCTCATCTGGTGCCCAGCTGGAGAAAGCCAGCTGTTTTGCGTGTGAAGGGAGCATGATTGGGTTGAGCGAATGTGGTCTCCACTACATTTTGGCCCTCCCCAGTGTTCACCTGTGAGGTGATTTCAGACCTGGCCCTCCCTGGGCCCTCCGGGCCCTGGCTCCTCATGCACCTGTCTATGATCGCCAGATGAGCAAGATCATGGGAAGTAGGTCACAGTGCAGTTAGAACACGATCTCCTGGGAAAGAGCTGAAATTTTAGAATTGGAGCTTTGTTTCTTGAAAAGTGCAAATTCCACACTCAGAAGGAAATGCTGTCTAAGTTACTCCCAGTCTCTGGCCTCTTGGGCAGTGGCTAAGGGGGAAAGCTGGTGAAGCAGCTGGGACATTTGGTGGCATCCAGCAGGCAAAGGAGCGAGCCCTTCAGACAGGCTGCCAGTGACTGCGCTCTTAGAAAACACCGGGAGTCAGCAATGTGGTGGACCTGGGCAGACAGCCAGGTGGTCAGACCTGATAGGTCCCCCAGGGGAGCAGGCACTTCCTTGACAAGACTGCCAACGCCCAGACGAGTTTCGTTTGGATATTGGGCATTCCTGACAAGTTGGGATTATCCAGGCACAAGCAAATTCTCATGGGAAGATTCTGATAGCCCTTGGCAGGAAGGCCAGGTGGACAGGGACACTTAGGTACAGCATAGATGGGTGGAAAGCAGCCTCACTGAGCATGGTGGTGAGTGCCACTTCAGGTGAAGCCACTTGGAGACTCAAAGGTTACACAGTGATGATTGACCGGTTTCAAACCCAAGTCCCTCACAGGAAAACTGGTGCTTTCTTCTAAAACAGCTCCCTTGGGGCATGATACTCACCCCAGAACTGTGGAGTCTCCGTTCACCATTACTTAAAGAGCATCGTTTACAAAGCTCATTCCCAGGTCCCTCTTGGGCCTACAGCTCTGACCCTGGCACGTTCAGGAACACTTCTGTTGTGACAAACATTTACACATTTCTGGTGGGAGAGAGCGTATTCTCACCACCAGGAACAGTGAGTGCAGGGGGTTTGGTGACTATGTGACACTGGATGGTCTTTTACATCAGAGTTGCCTACATGAAATAGCCAGATGCTGGGAGACACTGTATTATTGTCTATAGCAGAGATCTAGCTTGCACCGCTGGTGTCCAGGGCCAGCTCGTTCTGGTGGTGGGGCCTGTCCTGTGCACTGTAGCAGGTTGAGTAGCGTCTCTGGCCTCCACCCATATGCCAGTAGCACCTTCTTCCCCAGTCGTGACCACCAAGAATGTCCCCTGGGGATGGAGTCATCCCCAGGTGAGAACCACTGGCTACAGGCAGTTTTTCAGGTACTTCTTTGCTAAAGGAGCTCAACTTTTCACCCTGTCGCCACCCCATCAGGGGAGAGGATGAACAGGCCCCTTTCTAGCCCCAGGACTTCGGTCTCCTTAAAAAAGACCCTGGGTAGGACACAAGTCACCCCGTTATTGAGCCTGACATTTTCCACAAAAATTAAACCACTGTTGACATTTAGAGACTTAAGCTTCTCTGGGTTATTTGGCTCTTTCCCCTGTTAATTATGAATCTTTCCTTTGCAATAGATTTGCAAAATCATTTCCTGACATAAAATGTGTGGCTTATCTGGCTGACCTCTTCCCCTCGACACTGATGCCCACCTTGCTACAGTCACTACACCTAGGGGTCCCCTCTGTACCTTTCCAGATCCTGCAGGATGCAGAGAATGTGGGGACGGAGCCACCCCCAGGCACAGGGCAGCTTGTTGGGAGGTGCAGGCCCAGGAGAGGACACAGGGTCAGGCCCAGTGGTTACCGTGTCTGCTCTCTTTCTGAGGGGTGATGGCAAGAGCAGCCCAGCTGGTGGCCCCCAGGTCTAACCACTTTTCCTCCAGGAGTTCCAGCCTCGGAGTTCCTGCCGTGGCCACTGAGACGGTTCCTGTGTGACTTTCCTTTCCTGTCCTGTGCAGGGCTAACTGCTCACATGTGTGCTCTCTTCCAGGTTTCTGCAGTGAGTGGGGCGGGCCCTTGCTGGCCTGACACCAGCCTAAGTACTGAAGGAGGCCCCCTCATCGAGTCCCAGCCAAGGTAGGCCAGGTGGGAGGCCTCATCAGGGGGGAAGGGGTCCTCCCTTTAGAGGGAGTGTCACTGCTTTCCTGGCACTGAGCTGCCATGATCCCCGCCCCCTACCCTGTGAACCCCCGTTTTGCTGATGAAGGGGCCTCGCTTTCCTCTATCCAGTGAAGGAGCTGAGCCCTGTCCTTCAAACTGCGTATGTCCCCGGCTCCCCGCAGGTGAATTGGTCACCAGCCATCAGCACCCAAACAAGCATCTCTCCCTGGGACCCCTGGGGTGGCGCCCCTGGTTCTGTGGGTTGTTTGAATTCAGTATGTGCATTTTTTCTGGAGAAAAGGTCCAGAACTTTTCCTGAATCTCCTCAGAGTGGGATAGCTAAGAACCATTGACCTAGCCAATCTTGGGCGGACCCAGTTCTGGCCCAGGATGGGCCCTTCAGGTCTGACTTGGCTGGTGTCCTCACTTCCCGCTTGGCTCTGTGCCCCCGGGAAGGCCATTTCTCTCCCTTCGGCAGGCCGCCGGGTGCACTGTCCCTCCGCCTGAGGAGTGTGCGTGTGTGGGACTAGGGTCCCCTTACTCCAGAGGCTCTCACAGTCTGTCCTCTCCCTGCAGTCCTCTCTCCCGGCCCTGCTAGGGCCAGCACTGGGTGGCCATCCTCTCCTGTTACAGGCCTCCCTGCAGAGGCGGTGCCTTATCAATTATTTATGGCCAAGCTTCTGTGTCTGTCTAGCAAGTGTGGAGGAGGGACTAGGGGTGCAGCCCTTGGTGAGTTTTTCTGTTCCTCCTCCTCCTCCTCCTCCTCCTCCTCCCCATCCTCGTCCTCCTCCTCCTCTTCCTCTTTCTCTTCCTCTTCCTCCTCCACCTCCTCCTTCAGGGATAAGGTAGCATGTTTTTGCCCTCTTCCTTTGCATAAGCTTTGTCTCTAGTACCTGTTGTACTAGTGACACACACACACACCCTGCACAAGTACCAGAGGTCATTCAGTCAAAATGGCTCCCCACCATTGTTTGAGCAAAGAGGAGGGAGAATTTTGTCTCAATCTGACATCCTTGCTGGGCGATGTGACCCACATGGACATCTGGAAGACCCCCAGGGCAGGGCCTGGGGTGATGGCCCATGGTGAGTAAGACATAAAAGAAGCTAAAGCCCAGGTCAGCCAACCATCTTGGGTGGCCGCGGCAGGTGGAGCAGAACACAGATCCCGTAGTGAAAGACCAGGAGGTGCTGCCATGCCAGGGTCTGGTATGATTTGGGGAGAGCTGTTGGCTGGAGGCCAGGAGGACAGTTCTCTGCCAGCACCCGCAGGCCACACATTAGATACAGTGGGTGCTGTGGCACATCCACCCTCCCATAGAAGTTAATGCCACCCAGTGCCGGCTCCTCCAGGAACTGCTCTGGGCACTGGGCAGGCAGCGTGGGACAGGACAAAACATGAAGCCGCCATCTACTGCACATTGGGTGGGGCAGGCAGGGTGAGAGAGAGACGAGCAAATTAGATAAGCAGGCGGCAGAGTGTTAGGGAGAAAAAGTCAGTGGGGAGCCGAGACCGGTTTGGCTCAATGGATAGAGCATCGGCTTGGGGACTGAAGGGTCCCGGGTTCGATTCCGGTCAAGGGCATGTATCTTGGTTGTGGGCACATCCCCAGTAGGGGGTGCGCAAGAGGCGGCTGATCGATGACTCTCTCTCATCGATGTTTCTAACTCTCTATCTCTCTCCCTCTCTGTACAAAATCAATAAAAATATATTTAAAAAAAAAAAAAAGTCAGTGGGGAAGAAGTTAAAATTTTAACTCAGTGATCAGGGAAGTATTCTCCCAACCCCCTGACATTTGGGAGAGAACATTCCAGAGCCCTAAGAGGTGCTCAGGGAAAGGCCAGGTATTCATCTTGTGCCTGGAGGGAAGGCAGGGACGAGAGGGAGTCTGGAAGGGCAAGCAGATGGTGCAGTGACCATTTTCACAGCCCTGCACCCCATACGCAAGGGAGACAAACTGTAGAGGCAGGAGCTGGGGGTCAGGGGAGACTGGTAGGGAGAGGTGGCTGGATGCTGGGTGTGCTTTTGGCAATCGATCCCGCTGGGTTGGCCCTCAGAGCTCTGCCCACAGTAGCTTAATATCTGGGAAAGCAGACAGCCAAAGGCCCAGCGAAAGCCCCCCAGGATGGTGTTTGGTGGAGCTGCCTGCTGAGGTCAGGCCTCTTATCTTCCTTTCCCTCCAGCACCCACAAGGGGATCCAGCCCTGTGAAGCCACCAGGATGGAGGATGCAACAGATACCATGCGCGGCCTCATTATTGAACTCTCCAACCTGAAGTAAGAGGGGTGGGTAGGACAGGCAGTGGGATGGGAGAGCCAATGGGGCAGCAAGGAGGAGGCCCCTCACAGCAGCCCAGACCCCCCATCAAGGGGCCTCCAAAAAGTATCACTCTTCCTGGGCTCTCACCTATTACGGTACAGATCCATCCTTTACAGAATTGTTAGGTTCCAGAGAGGGCCTGGGACAATCAGTAGTTCACTCTGTGGCAGGCTGGTTCTGATTGTGCGTGTGTGTCTGTGAGAGTGTGTGAGCCTCTGAGAATGTGTAAGCAGGAGTGTGAGGTGTCCTGCTCTGCCTCAGAGTCAAGCCAGCATTTTCTTGCAGCCGGCTGATCATGAATGCCCACCGGGACCTGGAAGCATTCAAGCGCCTCAACTACCGGAAGGCAAAGCCTGCAGGGAAAGCCCCCATGCCCTACCCATCAAAGGGTGCTGGGGCTCTCCCTCGAGGGGAGCAGCCCTGGAGGGATTTATAGATGCTTCCAATGGGGGGTGCTGGGAGACTGTGTGTGCAGAGATTATCCCTCCCATGGATGTATGTTTTGTTCAAACTCTGGCCCCCGGAAGTGTTCCTGTCACAGAGCTGTCAACAATCCCCTGCAGACCCAGGAAAACCTTCAGTCCCTGAGGTTGCTCCTGATATTTTGTTACCCCTGGTACTTTGTTGCCCCAAAGATGCTCCAGCGGGTCCTAGTGGGCCCCAGAAACTGTCCTTCCGCTGACCTGGAAGTCAGCCTCCCCTGGGGAACCCTGGAGGCCCCACTGGAATCCACAGCTGCCCTCTGGAGTCTGTATGGGGAGGGAACCTGCTCGCCCAGAGGCGGAGGCTGCAGGGGGAGGTGGCTGGAGGCTGAGGCCCCAGGAACAGGGCCCAGCACCACCCAGATGTTTATCTGGGTTTGCAAATTTTGGCTTCTTAGCTGAGGTTATGGCGGGTTCAGAATTTGTTTCTTTCCTGGAGGAAAAAGGGCCTCCTTTGTTGGTTGTGCGTTTGTCTTTCTTGTGATTTCCATTTTATTTATTTTGGGATGAGCATTAATAAATGATTCCCTAGCAAAGCTCCAGGACCTGTTGTTTGAAGGTTGAAGCCTTTGAGTTCCTTGATATTCGGCCCACAAACCTAACTGCCTCTTTCCCCTTTTGCTTCTCATCCTCCGTTAGGAAGGCAAGTGGGGCTATTGCTGGGACAAGTCAGGGAGTCCCCATGAGTTTCCCAAGTGTGTGGGATTCCCTGGAAGCGGGTGGCTGTGTGGGCCCGTTGAGGCACCCACACCAGCATCTGTGAGGCAGTGAGCCCACAGGTCTCACCTAGAGAGGTGTTTTTGCCCAGTGCTCAGTGGCCCTGTCCTGTTCTCCATGAGACAAGCTGCTTTGATGCCCCAGACCCAGAAGGAGGCAGTCCTAGGAGGTTGTTATTAAACAGGATGTCACGGAGGGATTACTGCACACCTCATTCCCCACAAGCCTGACCCCAGCCCCCAAGGTAGCATCAGAAGCAGCCCCAGACACTGTTCAAACCCATTTTTCAGGGGGGGGGAGCTATTTCCATTAAATTGATCACCACCAGAGGACCAGACCTGTCCCTTTATTAGTGGCTCTGCCAGTGACTCCCACACCCAGACTCCTAGGGCCACAGCAGAGCACCCTTCCCACTGCCTTTATACACCCGGGGAGACTCCGTTCAGGAGGGGAGCAGGTCAGATCAGGGTCCCCTTCCACCTCTCCTTCCTTGACCTTGCCAGGACACACCGGTTTGTCCAGTGTGTCCAAGCCCCAGGAGCTCTGTCCTTGGCAGCACGCAGCTGCCGGCAGAGCCTGGGATGTCGTGTCCCCAACTCAATTTGAAGACCCTTTGGGCTGCCCTCTGTGGTTTTTTTGCCCTCCATTCTCCCCCTCTAAGCCTAGGCAGCAGGCTGTCTTCAAGGGCAGGCTCCCACCCCAGACTCTCCTTCTGGGTGGCCCCAGTCCCAGTTCAAGGGCAGAGTGGACCTGCAAAGTCCAAATCCTGCCTCCACCCACCCCTGGGAGAAAGACCGTGTGGTTTGGGGATGGAGGCCAGCATCTTGATTTAGGGAAAGTGGATGGACACTTGCCACCTGCCAGGGAAACAGCATTTGGTGAGGGAGGAAACAGGGCTAGCTCTAGCTGTCCCTCTGAGCACCCCTTCCAGGAGAACTGGATCACAATCCATGGATGGGGAGGGCTCTGTATCTCCTACTCTTGCCCAAACAGATCCAAAATGCCTCCACAGAACCCCAGTACCCTGGGCAAGACCTCAACTGGCTGACCCCTAGATGACCCCCCCCCCAAGGCACAGTCAACATAGTCCCATTCTTGCCCCCACCCAGAGGGCTTGGTACTCCATGGCCCCAGTCACTGGGGCATTGTGGTGTGATGTAAACATTCACTGAAGGCTTCCTGGGGAGGACAATGGGGGTGAGGGAGGCTTGTCTAATTGTCTTTCCATTTCTCCCCTCATATCAGACCCTCACACTCCACCACCTATTTGACATGTCAATATGTGAGGGGTGGCTGAAAGGGAATTTGAAAATGTCAGAAAAAGTGCCAAATATGCCAGCAGCAGAAGTCATGCCCAGAAGTGCCGGGAAAGGAGCCACCTCTCAAAGCCCCAGAGCCACCCTATGGTACCCACTCCCATCTCTCTGCTCCCCCTGAGCCTCAGGGTGAACTGAAATCCAAATAGCAGTCAGGAAAGTGGGGATCACGGGAACATGTGCAGGCTGTCACAGCCAGGAGAGAACCCAGTCCCTCCGAAGCTGTTCCCACTACCCTGCCCCAAGACCAGCCTCATCTGACCACTGATCCATTCATAGCATTTATTGAGAGCTGACTGGGTGCCCAGTGTTGGGGAGGGAGGGCAGGCAGGTGGTTCCGGCCCACCTCCTTCCTCACAGGACTCTTCCGGTCATGTTTCCAGTCGCTGCTCCTCATACAAGCCCCAGGCTGGGGGAGGGGTCAAGGGAGGGTCCTTGCCAGATGCATCTTCCCTGAAATCCAGGCTTCAAGGAGTCCCCAGGCTAGGGGGAGGCCGCATCCCGGACGTCCTCCCCGAACTGCCTTCTAGACAGAATTGGAGGGGCAGCAGGAAGAGGGCGAAGGTCCAGACGACTTCCTGGCACCTTTGGAACCTGAGTTCAAAAGCGGAAGGGGGAGGAGAAAAACAATAGGCTATGATTCATGTGGCCAAAGTATCAGTTCAACCTACAGGGCTGTCAAGACTCTGGCGCCACCCAGAGGCTATTTGTGGAACAGCTCCCAAATTACATTTTTCTGGACCAAGTCAAACCCAAGTGAGACCCAGAAACGGACACAATGCAAAAACCCCAATTCCGTCCTGTGGTGCTGCCCCCTCGTGGCCGTAGGGCCTGGGGACCCCGAATTTGTGATACCTAGAGTGTTACCTGGGAGGCCGGCGTACCGCAGCCCTTTAGCCACCCTTCACCCCATACCCTGCTCCCTCAGAATTAGGGGGAAAGGAGGATTCTGAGACCATCATCTCATGTGTCCCCTCAGCTTCCTGCGCCTCCAAGTTGAACCTCACAGGGATACTGTCTTCTCCGGGAGGCAAGCTCACTCTTTTAAAGGGTTCACTTCCCAGCTGTAGGGACAGGGGGACCCTTCTTCCAGCTCACCTTTCTCAGGAGCTCAGTCTGATGGGAGGCAGTACCCAAGTAACGACACTCCCCCATCAGAACCCCTTCCTATGCCCTGGCCAGTGTGGCTTGGTTGGTTGGAGGGTCCTCACATACCTCAAAGGGTGGTGGGTTCCATTCCCGGTCAGGACACATACCCAGGTTGTGGGTTTGACCCCCAGCAGGGGTGTTTGCAGGAGGCAACCAGTCGATGTTTCTCTCTAGTGCTGATGTTTCTTTTTGTCTCTCTCACTCTTCCTTCCTCTCCCTAAAATCAATAATTTAAAAAAACAAAAAAACAACTCCCTCCTCTCTTGGCTGACGACCCCCAGAAAGTTGCTGAAATGGATTTGTCCTTTAAAACCCCACAGGAGCTGAGGTCTTTTGCATCTATTCTGATAACTGATGTCTTTTAAGCCCAAGCCTCTCAAAGCCTGCCTGGTCTGTTGCCTGGCGGCGTGGCCACCTCCTGGGGAGCTGGTTGGAAATGCAGCTGCTCAGGCCTCATCCAAACAAACTTGTGAAGTGTGACCCACATCTGATGAGCAAGATCAGAGTGGTGGGCCATGCAGGTGAGGAGACTGGGCTTGGACCTCAGGGAGACTCCAGTGCAGCTCGTGTCTAACCTACAGCCCCAGAAGCTCTAAGGGGGGCTGCTCCCACTCAGCAGACTCCCCTCCAACCTGAGATTTCCCTGGGCACTGGGCCATTCCCTCTTAGCTGCCTTGGACACCTCTGCCTGCAGAACCAGCCGCTCTCACCACTCTCAAATCCATCCCTGGGTCCATCCGCTTAGCCACACTCTTAACACGCATACCTGGTCTTGCCACTTCTGTGGGTCCCTGCTGCCCAAGTCCAAGCTCTTTACTGTGACTCACAAGGTCCTATAGGCCCTTTAGCTTGTCCCCAAATCTCCGACACCTCCCCCTCCACCACACAATCACACACACTCCATCCCGAAGTTCCTGGACAAGCCCCAATGCCTGAGCCACACTCAAATTAGGCTTCCTGAAGTCACTTCCTCCAGGAAGCCCTCCTGAATCCTCTTATCTGCATCAGGTACTTTCTCAATATAACTAGTTGTATTCTATCCCCCATTCAGCGCCTATCACCCTGTGTTTTAACTGCTGCTCTCCCATCTATCTTGTCCACCACTAGCCCAGCCCAGCACCTGGCATAGAACAGGCACACAAACTATTAGCAAATGAGTAAGAAATAAGGACGCTAGGGTTCAGAGAGTCTGAGCAACTCCTCTTCTCAGAGCCACGCAATGTCAAGCCCTCGCTGTACCTATCCCCGGGTCCCACTGCTTGCTCATCCCCATGGCTTCCATACCAGGTCACCTGTGCCTAGGAAAGGATGGCTTTTCCCCCAAGGGCCCAGAGAGGGAGAGTCCCTTTCCCAAGGCTGCAGAGTAAAGTTAAGTCCCAGATGACCCACCCTGGGCAACACTTCTCGAACACTGTCCTAAGGCTTCTACCCAGATTCTCTACCCCAACCCTTTGAGGTGGGTCCTGGGTTAACCCACTTAACAAAGGCACGCCCCCTTCACAGTGGATTCCCCCAGCCACCTGCACCGGCTCCTCCTCTACGGTGACTGGAGTCCTGTGTCCTCGCCTTGTCGGACCGGGCCAACTTCTTGCCTGCAGAGTTGCGGGTGGTGTAGCTGTAGACAGAGGTGTAGCCTTGGCCGGTGAGTGGGCAGAAGCGGCGGGTGTGGGCTCGATCTCTAGTGGCACCGCACTGGGGGCACACGTAGTCTCGGAGGATGGGGCACAGCACCCGGCCGGCCTCGTCCTTGAGCACGTGGGACTGGTAGATGGCCCGGGACTCGCCGTTGTGTTTGCAGAAAGAGCACAGGCGTTCCGGAGCTGGTGAGGGTTGCGGGCTGGCCCTCCGATCCCCTGGTCCTGGCACTGGTTCTGGCTGGGGTTCCAGCCTGGTCTCAGGCTCTTCCTCCCCACGCAGAGCCCCCACCAGACGTGCCAAACCCAGGTAATCTGTCCACAGGTCGAAGGTCCCCATGGCTGGGCAGTATGTGCCAGGCGTTTGGGGCAGAAAGAGGAGAAACCCTGCCAGCCCCAAGCTCGTCCTTCTCTGCTTCCTCCCTGCCCCTCCCTTCCCCTCTCTGGAGCCTAGGAGTCTGGGCTGTCAGTTCCCTCCTTATACCTCCAAGGGGTTGTGAAGGGGGAGGAACAGCCTGTGGGAGACTTCCTATTGTCACAGGGGGGCTAGCTCCCGGTAAATGCACCTGCCAAGGAGATGTGCGTTCTCTGGGGGGGGCAGGAGGGGTAGGATACAGGACACAGTCTGCAATTTAGAGCCACATACCCCACCCAGAGGGTGTTTGGAGGGCTACCCCCAACCCCTCCTTTGAGGAGGCCCACCACCCTGCCCCACAGGACTTGGGGTGGGAGGGTGGGTAGTGTTGGAAGCCCTGCCTCAAGATAAGCATTAATGTAACCTGTAACTTAGTAATTGCTTTCTTCCTTCCCCTGGTTGCGGGGAAAGGGCCAGGTGCCCTTGGGCCTTTTGGGAAGGTGGGGGGGATAGGGGGACACCTGAAGATTCTCCAAATGTCCCTGGAAGGGGGATGGTATCAGGTTCTGAGCCCCAGCTCTGGTCTGCCTTAGGGTGTTTCCACACCTATTGTCCCCCACTTAATGGATGAGCAAACTGAGGTATGAAGCCACCTGCCCCTAGGGCTATTCACAAAGACTAACACAAAGTCTGCCTTCCCCCTTCTACTTATTGGGGCCCCCAAGGCTAGGTGCTGGCCAGGCAGCCTGTTCTGTCCCTGGGGTGGTGAGGGGGTGAAGTGGGGAGGTTGGGAAGAGCAGAGGCCAAGGTGGGCTAATGGGTAGACCCCCGGCACTCACCGGAGTCTTGATCTTCCCTCCCTCACATGAGACCTCAGCCAGTCTCAGGAGGAGGGGGTGTGCCCAAGGAGCACAGACATGCAGGGGAGGGATCAGCCAGCACCAAGTGCTAGGTGGGCGATGGAGGGTGTGGGCAAGGAGGGTGAGAGAGCTGAGCCCAGGACCTGGACTCAGAGAAGAGGGCCCCATTCACTTATTCTCTTAAGCTCGCCATCCCCTTCCAGAAGGGTTTTTAGCTGTCCAGCCCCTCCAGCCCTCCAGGATTTCTCCCCCAAATCCAGCTTGTGTCCATTAGGACCCCAGACACCAGCCCTCCCAAGTGGTGAGAGGCTGTGGGGTCAGGGCAAGGTACAGGCTGAGCCATTTGGAGGGAACCCATGGTGGGTCTTGTCCCCCCAGCCTACTTCCCCTCAGGCTGCGTGTGGCCCAGCCACAGTGCCATTCATCCCTCGGTGGGTCTGGCCTCTGTCCTCACAACCCACCGACAACAATGAATGTTGATTGTGACTTTCTCCGTGGCCTAAAGGAGGGGACGTGACCAGGCAGGACCCGCCCCCCAGATCTGGAAGGTGGGGGTCACGATGGCTGGACGGCACTTCCAGGCCTCGGGGTCCACTCAACGGTCGATGGTTTGCCTGAGCTGCCCAAACTCACCGACAGGTTGAATGTTCCCCCAAGCCCTTGGCAACTTCTTTGGTGGTGGTGGTGGTGGTGGTGGTGGTGGTGGTGGTGGTGTGCCAGAGTAAGAGGGTGAGGTGCAAGGAACCAGAGAGGTGGCGGAGGGAGGGACCTATTGACTCACTAAGTAAGCACAGTCCCATGACCTGGAAAAGCATGACATCAATATAACTAGTTGTAACAGTAGGTGTTTATGTAGTTTTGCTACATGGATGTAGCAGTACTGGGTGCTGGGCTCCCTGCTTCATGCATGTACTCAAATCATCCTCAAAAGGGCCCTGGGAAGGTGCAGATGAGGCCCATTTGTCAGTGGGGAAGACTGAGGCCGAGGGCACTACTCGTGGCCCCAAGGTGTGTCTGGCTGCCTTGCATGGGGCAGGGGGAGCGAAGGAGGAGCATCATTCAAAACAGAGAGATAAACAAGTCATTTTAATACAATGTATACCTTCCTCCAGCCTCACTGTGCTTCTGGGCACAATTGTTTAGGAATCACAACAACCCCTGGGGGCCCTCAGCCTTCCCTTTGCAAATGCAGGGCCCACAGTGGACAGGGGAGAAGCCAGAGGGTGTCAGGGGATGCCTGGTGCCCTTCTGCAGGGTCTCCAGGCATCTGAACTCAGGCCCCTGGTGATGTAATCGTGCAAGGTCGCTCGCCTTCCAACCTCAAAGGACACTGTGGGCAAACAGCTACTTGGACTCCAACTGCAGCAAGATGCTGCCCCCTCCTCATTTTCTCCCGGTAAAAGGACTTCCAGTCCTTCCCTCCAGGGGCCTCGCACAGTTGGGTGCCCATCCCCTGGGCGAAAAGGGAGGATGCACGCAGTCTCTAGGGAGCTGGCCCCAGGTGGCGGCCAGCCCCCTCCCGTTTCACTCAGGGGAATGTGGAGCCTCAAAGGAAGCCTTTGGCATGACCCTCAGGAGGATCAGGGACCCCGAGTGTGCTGAGTTTGAATAAACCCTAAAATGTCCCTGAAGTAGTTGACCTGAGCCAGCACAGCCCCTCAAACTCCTCTCTCGAGGCCCCACCCAGATCCATCCCCAGGAAACCCGTCCCTCTAAAGCCACCAGCCCTGGCCCCTCCGCAAGACCCGCCTCCTTACAGCCCCACACACTGCCAGTCCCTAGGCCCCTCCTTCTAAGCCTGCCCATATCCATTCTCTTGGAGCCCCCCACCAAACTCAACCCGTAAAGCCTGCCCCTAAGCAGGTCCTCAGAGTCCAGCTCCCCCAGACTCCTCCCAGGCCCCACCCTCTGGGCCTAACCCTGTGGCACCCCACATTTTTGTCAGCCCCAGGAGGGGCCAAGGTCACAGAGGCCCGCCCCCCCCATAGGACCCTCCTCTAGACTCTCCTGGACCGTGACCCTAGGAGTCCCCAAGGCCGCTCCCTTGGAGCCCAACCCCTTAAGTTCCGCCCCGACAGGACCTGCCCCCAAACTGGAGCCCCTCAGAGCCCGACCCCCTGCAAAATTCGCCCAGGAAATTTCCCCAACTTTCCCCTAAGCCGAGCATCTCGTCCCAGGCCGGGTCCAGTCTAGTTCTCACCCCTGTGGGGAGCGCCCAGTGGCCCATCCGCCCAGCCATCAGGGCCCCAATCAGGGGTGGGTGGGCCGCGGCCCGGACTCCTCCCCTTTTCTCCTGCCTTGGGGATGGTGGTCCTAACCAGAGAATGCCTAGAACCCGGGAATGGGGGGTGGAGGGTGTGTTGGAAGTGCAGAGATATAATAATAAATCTTTACACACATCACCCTATTATTAGGATACTCATTTTATCGATGGAGATGGTGATGGGTGCTCTGAGAGTTTGGTAACAACTTTTGAGGTTCCTTGGCGACATAAAGCTAGAAGGCGAGGTCATCAGACGGGAGGCACTCTGACCACACTGAGGGTCCCCCGAGACAGACACCCTGTGCCTTCTCTCCCCTAGCTTCCCTGAGGGCACTGGTCCTTTATTTTTTAAGTAAAATTGCTGGATTTTTAATTGATTTGAGAGCAAGAAAAACATCCATTGATTGTTCCACTTTTGCATTCACTGGTTGCTTCTGGTGTGTGCCCTGGTGGGGGATGGAACCCACGACCTTGGCTTATCAGAAGGACGCTCTAAGGGCACTGACCTTGACCTACAAAGAAGGAGGTCCCCGCAAGTGGTTTCCCCTTAATCCGCCAGGACGGGCGGTCCCGGCGGTCCGGAAGGCGGGGCTGGGTCGGTGGGCGTGGCTCCGGGCCGAGGGGCGGGGCTGAGGAGCTCGGCCGCGCCCCGTCCTGTGGGGAGGAGTCAGCTGGGGCCTTCCCGGGGCTGGTCTCCCTTTGTCTGCGGTGGTCGGCGGAGCTTCCCGCCCTTGTCTGGGTCGGCCTGTCTGGGTCTGCCTGCGCCCCTGGCCGGCCTGTGTTTGACTGGGTGTCCTATTCCTGGCTGTCTGGGTCCGCCTGTCTGTCTGGCCCTTTACACTTGATCTGTGTGTAGGCCTGCCACCCCCCCACCCCCAACGTCAGCATCTCACTGTCTAGACTTGGATCTTGGGGGGATGAGGGGCGACACTGTTCCTCTGCCAAGTGCCCTGAGACCTTCTGGAGGGCCCACTGCGCTTCCATCTGACTGTGAAGCCTAGCAGGGTGGAGGGGACTGTCTCCTCCTGCTCCCCACCATAGGCCCTGGTGCAAGGCAGGGGTGCCCTTCCAGGCCCTTTGGACCATCATCCCTCTTCCTCCTGGGACCCCAGCCCTGCCACACCTGGAGGGGGCTGGGAATGAGTGGGTGAGGGGAGCCTTCCAGAAGCCACACTGGGCCCAAGGCCCACCCCACCCCCACTCTGAGCTCCAGGCATGCAGGGTAGCTGGTGCAGGTCTGGGGGTCAGGGTCTGAGTGAGGGTGATGGATGGAGGCAGCTCTGCCGTCAAGCTGAAGAAGGGGGAGTGAGTGTCTGTGTGTGTGTGTGTGATGCATATGTTCCTGCACGCGTGTCCCGGTGTGTGTGTGTGTCCTTGTGTGTGTGCACGGACCTGTGGGGAGCATGGGGGAGGAGGTAGTCAGGGCCTGGCAGACAAAGAGCCCCTCCTGAGGGTACGGTGACAGCAGACATGGGGGTTCCTAAGTGGGTTCCAGCTGATGAGCCAGACTGACTAGACGGCGCAGGGGGCTCCTCTTTTCCTTCCTAGCTGTCTCTCGGGTTCCCCCTCTGCCATCGCCAAGCCAGCTCCTGGCTTCCTCTGGCTGCTCAGGCCTTTCCATGCAGGGCCCTCAGACAAAGGGCTCGTCTGTCTCGCCCAGGCCTGGGGTGGGCAGAGGGCCAGGCGCCCAACCTTTCTCCCAAGCCCACCCGGGCTGGGTAGGCAAGAAGCCTCTTCTCCGGGGTTGGGGCCTGGGGCCAGTGGATGGCACATTTGGGTGCTCCCGTGACTCAGGGTGCAGGGCAGCCCTGTGTCTTAGATCAGGCGAGTTCCACCGGAAACACAGGCAGCAGCTGCCTGGG